ATGTATTTATTATGTATAACTACGCCTAGAAAAGCTTATGACTTGTACTACCAATTTTGGGAATTGTAATTGTTTAGAGTTATCTAATTTGAAGTTAGTAAATATCAATGTTATTTCTGTTAAAGCTAGGCTTACCTAGTTTAGAGACTATGTGCTATTACGACTCATTCATAGGGATTTTGCGTCGTGACAAGTTGGTATCATAGCTCTAGGTTCATAGAACTCTAACATTGGCTTGCACGCAGCAACAAGAGTTGTTCATATTATTACTGATCATATGGTGGGATCGGGATGCGGGCTACATCATTTTGTTGTTTATGTGTTCTTCTTCTACTGTGATTTTATTATGTAGCATTGTAACTCTCTTAAGGATTGGTTATAGCTGAGTACTGGCAAGACAACTGCGTTCCGTAGTTAATTGTTGCAAGTTACTGTTCCATTTCATTTTGTTCTTCCCTTTTGCTTTATTATAAATTGTATGCAGGTTATATTATAAACGCCCCGCTGTAGCCTCGTCACTACCTCGTCGAGGTTAGGCTCGGAACTTACTAGTACATGGGCAATGTGCCTTTAGATTCATAAGAACCAGATTAGGGACCAGATCCCTTGGTGTTCCCCTGACAGAAGTATAAGTCAACTATACAGCTGGAAAGTAACTATAGAAAGTGACTGCCTGCAACTGTATACGTGACAGTGCAGCAGTCACTTCCCATTAGGAAGAGGCATGTACTAACCAAGAATTGACATCACCATTGTGAATTGACATCACCATGGTGATGTCTTTTGTAGTATAAACCTGGTTCAAGGCACAAGACATTCATCCCAGCACTTGCAAAATTAAAAAGAAGATATTCTCTCAAGTGCTTTCTACAACCTCTCTCAAGAACAATGCTGATGCAACCTCAAGGATCGGATCCAAGATTTAAGATATCTTAAGTCCTTAGGTTTGTTGAGTCTTTGTTATTTGTTCTTCAATTTGTAACTCATATCTTGCTTTCTTAGAATCTGTATTTTAGGAAACCCAAAATCACAAACCCTCTAAGTTTGTGTCTTGGATAAAGTTAGTCGAGTTGTGAAGCCTTTGTAATAAAGTTATTACAAAGTGGCTTGTAATAGTGTTATTACAAGTATAGAGTGATTAAAGTCTTTGTAACTAGAGAGTGACAAAGTGGCTTGTTATGAGAGTATCACAAGTTAGTTAAATTCTTTGTAACTAGATAGTGACAAAGTGACTTGTGGTGAGAGTACCACAAGTTAGTGTAGTTGAATCCTTTGTAATAGAGTTATTACAAAGTTGCTTGTAATAGCTGTTTACAAGTTAGTGAAGTTGAAAGCCTACAAGTTTAGGTCGTGGTTTTTGTCCCCTTGAGTTGGGATTTTTCCACTTAAAAATCCTATGTGTTCTTGACTTACTGCCGAGCTAAGATTATCTTCAGTCGATTAACTTGAATGATTGTACCAGGCATGCTTCAAGTCCTTTATCTGGTTCTTCCATGAAGTAAGTTATTTTACCTTCCTTGATTGTATTTATACATGTGTGACATCACTTACAATGACGTAAGCAAGGCAGGTAAAAAACCTTCCACAGAAAGTTGATTGTTGCACTGTTCTTGTACAATAGCGTGTGTAGGCAACAACTTTCCTGCTGGAGATTTGACTTCATACAGTCTCCTCAAGAACTTGTAGGGACCTATTCCCTCAGTTGTTCCTTCCACTCTAAAGAGTTGAGTTATATCACACGCAGGATCCCAACCTGAAACTTTGTGATCTCAAGGTCTTGTAAATGTGTAACAGGTTCCTTATCTGGTCCTGGATGATAAGTTTGTTAGATCATCAAAACATAAAGTAAAGTACTTATGCCCAAGGTACTTTGCAACCTATCAATTTTTCCCTTTTTGATGATGACAAACATAGAATTGATATTTCCACTGAGAACCAGATCTCCACATTATTCCCCCTACGAATCAACCATATTCCCCTTGAGAACCAAACCTAAGGAACTGATCACAACTTGTTCCTCAAGACTGTTTGGAAATCATCAAAACTCAAAGTACCATAATTTATCAATTTCCCCATTTTTGATGAATGACAAACCCATAATTATTGCCCCTGAGAATCAGATTCCTTATATGCACTGATCACATCTGGTCTGTACACAGTTCGTCGAGAATATTTGTCATTATCAAAAAAATGACATAGTGTAACTTAGAGCAATTTCCCCCTTTTTGATGATGACAAACCCAAAATTAATATTCCTCTTGAGAACTAGATTCCTCACATGTTTCCAGCAACGTTCCCCCTACAAAGCAGAGCTATCTTTCATGCATAACACAATATATCAATTCGATTCTGTTCCTCCCCTATGTTGACATCTATATAACTTCCTTCTTTTGGTATCATCGAAAAGAATAACAGAAGAAGCATAACCAAAAAGAAGTTCAGCAACATTAACTCATGCCACTTGGGCAACACAACATAAACAATCATAAGAACAACAAGTGAATGTCATTGCACAAAATAGAGTGATTGCCCATAGTGGAGTAATTATAATAAAAGCACAATAGTTTCAACAATACATAATATAACAATTTAAACAACTAAAGTACCAATGTCATTAAATATAGGGATCAAAAGAAGATAAAAATTCAAGGGAATTTAGAAGGAGTGAAAGACATGGATCACTGGACAGGAGGAAAAGTAAGGGGCTAAGGCCTTGATGAGCTTGTCCATTCGTTCATTTACTCTCATTTGATCAATGATCATCTGCTCTCTCAGTTCCTCCACATGTTTCCTCAATCTTTCAATCTCACCCTTCAACTTAGCATTCTATTATACCGAGGGTCTACGAGGACCTGGTGCTCAACCTATCTGAGTAGGTTGAACCATCAATCATATCACAAAGAATCTCCCCAAGCTTCTTCTCATTAAGAACAAACTCAGTCCCATGAACATATCGAATCAGAATGTCACATAAAACATAGAACTTTTTACTTCTTCTTCATAAACGTTGTGACTTGGAGTAACAAAGAGGTGATTCTATTTTTCGCACTCAACAATGTCAAGAAGCTCCTCCATTTTTCAGCAATATCTGAGTCAACACTCTGCCTAACAACACTTTTTGAGACTTTAGAGTCTTCTATCTCTCCAAACCTGATAACTCAACCTTTTGCTTCTGTAAGGAACCAAGTTTCTCTCTTACACTACCATTTCTATCCCTGAGCTGCCATGTCTCCCTCTTTCTCTTCTCAATCTCTTCACCCTTATTTTTTTTATTTTTTTTAAAAAATGGAGATTTTTCCACATCATCCTCTCTTCCACAATCACCATATCAGCAGGTTAACCACTTCATCATCAATCAGCCTATTTTTCTCAATCCTTTTTACTAGATCAAAGGTTCATTTAAGCACAGACCCAAGAGAAAAATATCATCATTAGAATTAACATCCTAAGAAGGATTTTAGGGACTGGGTCCCTCATTCAGTTCCCCTCTTTTTTTTTGGCACATTCACCAATTCTTTCATCCTTCAAGTCTTCTACAAACTCAACAACAATTTCAGCCTCACACTTTAGAATATTAGATCTACCACGTTCCCTTTTAGTTAAACTCTCATCAAAATATACCAAAGACTTCTTAGGGGTTTGATTTAGATAGAGTTAGGATTTTTGGAAGGAGACAGAGTTAGGTTCACTTTTGACATATTTGGGGAGAAGGATGCTTTTTGAGACAAGGTTGATTTTGGTTTTGAAGAAAAGAACCGGTTTTAGTTGGGTGTAAGATAAAGAAGTGCCTTTTTGGGGCAACAGGTCAGTTCAGAAAAGGTTTAACATTTTGGACTTCAAAAGTTAGGAGGAGAGGCAGGAGAAAGGCAGAAACAAATTAATGACATGACACTTCAGCAACTTAAAAGGCATTTAAGTATTGAAGAGACTACTAACCTGAGTCACAGGAACCAGGTTCCTTGACGGTTTTTGAAAATTTTGAGCAAAGACTCCTAGAAGTGCAATGTCACTCTTACTTGTTTTTGTCCTGAAACTTCCATATGTGTATACCTGTAACAATATAGATTTAAGTAGATGTCTCCAAAAAATACTTTTTAGTAGTGTACCTTTCCTTCTTAACATAGCCAATCATTGAGGGACTAGGTCCCTCTGTTAAGCTTGATCAACCCCAATTCCAGACGATTTCTTTCAAAGTGTTCATTGGTCATCTCCTTGGTGAAGATGTTTGCTACCTAGTCCTCCGTCTTCCAGAACTTCATACAAATAAGAACCTTTTCAACATTATCCCTCAAAGAGTGATGTCGCACATTAATGTGCGTTGTCCTCTTGTGTTGTACCGGGTTCAAGCTGTAAATACACCAAAGTCTTCAAGCCCAACAAGAAGCAGCAACCACGTATTCAGCTTCAGCAGTAGGAAGATCCACACAGTTTGGTTCTTTGTACCCCATGAGATCAAGCATGACCCCAGAAAATGTGTCGTTCCAGATGTGCTATTTCTTCCACTAGATATTCAACATAATCAGTATTAGCATATCCAACCAATTCAATGTTATCTACCGAGGGATAGTAGAGAACCAGGTTCTACATCCCTCTGAGATATCTTAGGATTCTCTTGGCAGCTTTCAGATGAGATTCCTTTGGATTAGATTGAAACTCGGCACACAAACGCACACTAAAAAACAATATCTGGTCTGCTACAGAAGTGACCCTATGATACCTCTATACATGGTCTGATTTATAGGGGAACTAGGTTCTTCCATTCTAGAAAAGTAGCTGTGGCGATGAGAGTGTCAATAATGTTTTGTGTCTCTATGTCAAATCTCTTCGGCGGCTTCTTGATGTACTTTTGTTGTCTTATCATTGTCTCCTTGGGAGTTTGCTTCACGTGTAAATATAAGAAGAAATTCAGTTCCCCCATCGTACTCATTTCTAACTCACTTCCCATGAGTTTTGCAAATTCTTCACATTGAGAGTCAACTGTTGCTCCAAAGATGATGCCATCAACATAGATCTGCACAATGAGTAGGTTCCTTCCTGATTTCAAGCACGGGGAGTCTTGCTCCTATAACAGTTCTGTAAGCAGGTCGTGGAACCAGGTTCCACACACTGTTCCTCTCAAGTTGACAGAGCTCTTCTTGCATAGTTGTAATCCAGTCAACATCTTTAAATGCTTCCTTGATATTCTTAGGCTCTATCTGAGAGAGAAAGGCTGAGAGGGCAAATGAGTTTCTTGTCTTTGATCTGGTTTGAATTTCTCAGCAATTGGAGTTCCATGTACAGATGTATAGCATCCACAATTCTGTTTTCTGCTTCAGATATTATGATTGAGGAACCAAGTTCCTCTCTGTCGGTTGGAGTCTCATCTTCAGTTCTGACGAGCACGGTCCATGTAAATTTGGAGTAATCATCCATAATGATGAAACTATGTACCTCTTTCCTCCTCTACTTGGCATCCTCATAGGTCCACATAGATCCATAAGGAGGAGATCTAGTGGCCTTGAGATGCTAACTTCCTTTTTGGGCTTGAAAGAGGATCTGACTTGCTTTCCTTTTACATATGCATCACATACCCTATGATCCTTGAAACTTGAATTGAGCAGACCACGAACCAGGTCCTTCTTAACTAATTTGTTCAGCAGTGTGAAACTTGCATAACCCAGCCTTTTGTGCCATAGCTCAACATTATCATTAACAGCACTCAGACAGCTAAGATCCCCTTGTCACAGATTTGAAAAATACCCAGCAAGCTATACTTCAACCCCTTCATTAAGTACGCATTTTCAATAGAGTGGAGAAGAGACTTCCCGACCCTTCCAGCTCCTGAAATGTATCCCTTCTTTCCATTTTCAAAGGATACATTCCCTCCTTGCAGGGCCTTGAGTGAGAGAACATCATTCATTCTTCTAATTTTATGCTTAGAGCAGCCACTATCCATGTACTATTTTTGCTTTTGACTGCTACCTCTCACTTCAGCCTGTACACTAAATCAATTATTAGACTTAGGAACCCAAGGCAGCTTGGGTCCCTTATAATGATAGAACGGGCAGATCAAACTTCTTTTTGCCCATGCAGGCAACACATATTTTCTTTTCTGGGAACCAGGTTCCTCATCAGTACGCCTCTTTTCAACAAAAACTTTATTTTTCTGCAAGGACTGAATTTTAACTTTACAAGAGTCCTTGTAATGACCAATTTGACCACAATGAGTACACAACCTATTATCATCCACAGTTACATACTTTCTATAGGGATTATAGGAGGTTTTAGCCTTTTGAAACCCGATGCCTTGCCTGTTTCCACCATTACTACTATATATAGACATTATTACATCAGAGGACCGGGTCCATTTAAGTGACTTATCAAGATCATTTTTAACCCTTTTTAAATCCTCCTGAAGTTGTCTATTTTTTTCAAGCTCAGCAACAAGATTTGTTTTAACTTTCTTAAGCTCAAGTTGAGCCTCACTAGCCACTTCCTCTCCCTCAGTGTTGTCCATCCATTTTTTTGTTTGTTTTTTCAATAGGTTATGTTCTCTAGTTACTTCTTCCACTTGTTCCCTTAAATCTACAATGGAAACTACCATATCATCCCTTTCTTTCTCAGTAGTTGTAATTTTCTCTACTAGATTATTTTTTTCTTTTCTAAGGTACTCTATGGTTTCCTTCAAGTCAACAACCACTACCATCAAATCATCTTTAGATTGTTCAGCATCTCCTAGCTCTATGATTAGGGCATCTTTATCATTAACAAAACTATAATATGTATCAATTAAATATTTGCTAATGCCATCAATTTCTTTGAAGAGTAGGACTTCAGATTTCTCTGAACATCCCTAAAATTTACCTCATCATTGTCATCATCTTCATCCTCATCGGACTGAGCTATCAATGAAAACAATGAATCATATTTATTTGCTTCATTTTCCACTGCTATTATGGAGCTACTTCCTGCATCTGGTTCCTCTTCTGATTCACTGGAGGAGTCTCCCCATGCAGCAAGAGCTTGCTTCACAACATTGTCAGCTGCACTTTTTCGGCTGAATCGTTTATCAGGAATCGGGTTCCTTTTTGCTACTTTGTCAGAGTTGTGTTTGTAATTCTCTCTTTCAGAAATGAGCAGTCTTTGATGAAATGCCTTGGTTTTCGGCACTTGTGACAATAATTGTATCCTTTAGTGTTTCTGCTAGAACTACCCTTCTTGGGAGTGCCTCCATTTCTACAAACCATTTTCTGAAATCTTTGTGGTCTATTGGTTGATTGATTTTCCTTAAAGTTTGGTGGAGCAGCCATGTAGATCCTTTCTAGGTGTTAAAATTTTACAAAAGAACCTGCTCTGATACCAATTGTTAAAAACTAAGTGTCCACCAGACTGTATAGAGAACCGGATTCTCTATCAGTTCCCACTGTAACCAATAGACTGTACGACCAACCAGTATAGGGAATCAGGTTCTCTAATTGTTCCCACAGTAGCTCGGTAGTAAGTAAAGAACACAGAGGATTTTTCCGTGGAAAAATCCCAACTCAAGGGGACAAAAACCACGACTTACCTTGTAGGCTTTCAACTTCACTAACTTGTAAACACCTATTATAAGCCATTTTGTAATAACTCTATTACAAAGGATTCAACTCAACTAACTTGTGGTACTCTCACCACAAGCCACTTTGTCACTCTCTAGTTACAAAGACTTTAACTAACTTGGGATACTCTCACCACAAGCCACTTTGTCACTCTCTAGTTACAAAGACTTTAATCACTCTAAATTGTAATAACACTATTACAAGCCACTTTGTAATAACTTTGTTACAAAGGCTTCACAACTTGACTAACTCTTGTCAAGACACAAACTTAGAGGGTTTATTGTTTTGGGTTTCCTAAAACACAGCTTCTAAGAAAGCAAGATAGGAGTTGCAAATGAAGAACAAATAACAAAGATTCAACAAACCTAAGGACTTAAGATATCTTCAATCTTGGATCCGGTCCTTGAGGTTGCAACAGCTTTGTTCTTGAGAGAGGTTGTAGCAAACACTTGAGAGAATATCTTCTTTTTAATTTTGCAAGTGTTGGGATGAATGTCTTGTGCCTTGCACCAGGTTTATACTACAAAATACATCACCATGGTGATGTCAATTCACAATGGTGATGTCAATTCTTGGTTAGTACATGCCTCTTCCTAATGGGAAGTTATTATTGCACTATCACGTATACAGTTGCAAGCAGTCACTTTCTGCAGTTGCTTTCCAACTATATAGTTGACTTATACTTCTGTCAGGGGAACACCAAGGGATCAGGTCCCTAATCTGGTTCTTGTGAATCTAAAGGCACACTGCCCAGATTATCTTGAGTCGATTAACTTGAATGATTGTACCAGGCATGCTTCAAGTCCTTTATCTGGTTCTCCCATGAAGTAAGTTATTTTACCTTCCTTGATTGTATTTATACATGTGTGACATCACTTACAATGATGTAAGCAAGGCAGGTAAAAAACCTTCCACAGAAAGTTGATTGTTGCACTGTTCTTGTACAATAGCGTGTGTAGGCAACAACTTTCCTGCTGGAGATTTGACTTCATACAGTCTCCTCGGGAACTTGTAGGGACCTGTTCCCTCAACTATTCCTCCTACTCTGAAGAGTTGAGTTATATCCCACACTGGATCCCAACCTGCAACTTTGTGATCTTAAGGTCCTGTAAATGAGTAACAGGTTCCTTATCTGGTTCTAGATGGTAAGTTTGTTAGATCATCAAAACATAAAGTAAAGTACTAATGCCCAAGGTACTTGCAACCTATCATCTCTTATTCTTAAGCTCTCAATATTCATGTTACTATGTTCATACGTTTCGGCTATATATACACTTAATTCAAGGGTAGTCTAGCTCAAAGATTAAAGCTATACATTTTGTTTGGTTTGCTCCATTTATATTGGCAGTGAATTCCATTATCAATTTAAATTTTCTCTTAATTTATGCTAAGTGAATCACGTGTCCTTAAAATTACAATATAAATTCAATTGTTATCCGTTTTTAGGGTAAACAAATACTCCTTCCGTTTCAATTTATGTGAACCTATTTTCTTTTTTGTCCGTGCCAAAAAGAATGACCTCTTTCCCTATTTGGAAATAATTTACCTTTATGCAATGATTTATAGCCACACAAAATATATGTGCTTCATTTTACACCACAAGTTCAAAAGTCTTCTCTATTTTCTTAAACTTCGTGCCCAGTCAAATGGGTTCACATAAATTGAAACGGAGGGAGTAGGTTTCTTGTCACGACCCTAAACCGGACCCGATCGTGATGACACCTTTCGTGAAACAAGGCCAGCCGACACAAACCCCCAAACCAACTAAACAATTATAATAATTCATTTTAAGTCATAAATAAACTATAAACCCCAAAATAAAGAGTAGAATAAAATAAGGCGGACATAACACAGCCCGACATCGGGGTGTCACCAATCATGAGCATCTAAAAAAGAAGTCATCTAAGAGTATGAAAAGACTACATAGTCTAATACAAATCTAGTACAAAGGAAAATAAAGATAGGAAGGAGAACTATTAGGCTACGAACGTCGAGCAGCTACCTAGTCAACTCCGAACAAGCCTGCTGAACAGCAAATCAGCACTCGCTAGCATGACCCAAGACTCCTAATCTGCACACAGGGAGTAGGGAGTAATGTGAGTACGCCAACTCAGTAAGTAATAAAAGTAAAGGCAGCTGAGCGATAAGAAAACATGTAAAACATAGCATAATGCTACAACAAAATAGTATAAAACCAGAACAATGTAATAAAATAGTGAAAAGCTCGTAAAACACCTTAGTTCAGTAAAACCTCTTGAAAACATCTTTTAGTAGTTCAAACGAGTGATGACAACAGGGAGAAAAGGGTAGAAACATAAATCAACCCCTCGGGAAAAATACCAACAGAACCAGCCCCTCGAGCTATATCACATCTCACACTGGGTACCCGCGCTCACTAGGGGTGTACAGACTCATGGAAGTTCTCCTTACAGCCCAAGCGCAATAATAAGCCATCTCGTGGAAGAATCAAGCAGGCTCTCAGCCTCATATCAAGCCACCTAGTGGCGTAACAAAATCAGGCCCTCAGCCTCATAATCATAAATCAGTGTAACACTACTACGACATGCGGCCCGATCCCATAGTATCCTCACAACACAGGCCATTGGCCTCACTCAGCCAGAAATCTCTCAAGCCACTCGAGCACAGTAAAATATGATGCTCAGCCCAAAATATCATTTAAAATGTCAAAACAGAGTAAATATGACTGAGTTATAAAAACAATAGAATACAACATGACTGAGTACAAATATGAAGCCAAAATAGTGAGGAATAGTAGTAAAAATCCCCTAAGGGTCCGAAATAGTTGGCACAAGGCCCAAACATGGCATTCAGCCCAAAACATGATAATACTCTTCAAACACAATGATAGCAAAATAGTTTTCAATCAAATACGCGATTTAACAGTCATATAGGACGAACTAAATCACAATCCCCAATGGTGCACGACCCCACGCTCGTCATCTAGCGTGTGCGCTACCTCAAAGTAGCATAACAATGTGAAATCTGGGGTTTCATACCCTCACGACAGTATTTACAATCATTACTTACCTCTTTCCAGTCCAAACTCTATCCCGCGATGTCTTTGCCTCTCGAATCGGCCTCCGGATGCTCTGAATCTATCCAAAAACAGATTTATACCATCAAAATATACTAAGGGAACAAAGCCCACTCAAAAATAACTGTTAGTTTGTATGAGTCCACCAAACTATACAATACCTGGTCCTATATGAGATACTGCTGAGAATGCTATAGAAACTGAAAGTAAAGAAAACAAGGGATTTTTACGTGGAAAAATCCCACAAAAGGGGATTAAAAAACCACGACCTACTCTTGTAGGCTTTTAACTTCACTAACTTGCAATCTCCCTATTACAAGCCACTTTGCAATAACCCTATTACAAAGACTTCAGCTAACTTGTGATACTCTCACCACTAGCCACTTTATAACTCTCCTAGTTACAAAGGCTTTAAAGTTATGACTATTCCTAGTCACAAAAACTCAAAAGTTTACGAATTTTTGGTTTTTTCCTAAGACAAAGCTTCTAAGAAAGCAAACTAGGAAATACAATGAAGAGCAAATAACAAGATTGCAACTCAACTACGGATGTACATAAACTCTTTTAGAAACTGATCCTTAGTGGAGTTGTCTTCTTGTTCTTGACACACCAGTGACTTCAATGACGGATAAACACTGTTATGCTTGAGAGAGTATCAGTGAATGCACAAAAAAAATATTGTGCCTTGCACCAGGTTGTTATATCACAAAAGACATCCCAATAGATAGTGATGTCAATTCTTGGTGCACGCTTCTTCCCAATGAGAAATGACTATTGTACTGTCTCACAGCCACTTCTATGCAGTTGCGTTCCAGCTGGATAGTCGACTTGTACTTCTATCAGAGATCAATACCAGACCAGGTCCTAATTATGTTCCTCTTCTATAACAGTTGCGAGATGGTCACTTTCTACTGTTACGTTCCAGCTGTACGGTTGAGTTGTACTTCTGTTAGAGAACCTTAAAGGACTAGGTCCCTGTTGTGTTCCTCTTTATAATGATTGTGGTAGGTCCCTATTATGTTCCTCTTTATAATGATTACGGACATTCACTGACTTGTACTATTGTTGGAGAACCCTAAGGGATCAGGTCACCAGGTCCCTGTTGTGTTCCTCCTTGTGGTGGTCCATTCATTTGCTGATTTTCAGACATGGACCAGGTCAATTGAAATGTATACAATGTGGGCCAAGTTCTCTATCTGGTTCTTCACAGCAAGTTTGTTATATCATCAAAACATAAGATGCATAAGGCCAAGACATTGAAAACTCATCAATTTCCCCCGTTTTGATTATGACAAACTTAGGCATGGATAGTATTTGTTTAGAGCAGAAATAACCAGATAAGATACCAGAAACTACACAAAGTTCCCCCTTAATCTTAGGGCTCTCCTGAAATATGATATTCCCACACAAAGTTCCCCCCTGAATCTTATATTCTTCCCCCTTTTGGCATCATTAAAAAGAGCACAAGCAGGAATGTAGCATAAAGAAGTCTAACACAGCTAGCTCATGCCACATATGTGCACACAACATGACAGAAAAGAGAAGCCAGAGGAACACAACATTGTACAGGAAAAAAAGGGGAGTTGTTTTATTAATATTTACAATGGACTGAGCAAGACAGGAGCAGTAATAGTGAATTCCAGCATGCCATCACAAAAACAAAGGCAAACAAAAATAAAATAGCAGCCACAAAATATTAGAGCAAAAATAGCTGGACACTAAGAGGATCCTAGGGGACACTAAAAGGAGGTGGCTTGGAAAAAGAGACATCAATGGTTTTGAGAACCAGGTCCAGTCGAGCATTTGCAGACAGTTGTTCTTCAAGTAATTGTGCGTGAAGTTTATCATTTTCCTTTGTCAGTCGTGCAACTTCTTCATTAACAGAATCAGGTCCTTTAACTGCTTGATTGAGCTGAGTTTCCAGTATGGCATTTCGAGCCCTCAACCTTCTGATCTCTTCAGAAGCTACATTTTGAGCGTTGATCATCTGAGAAATGGTCGAGATGCTTCCACCAACTCTTTCTACACATTCACATTCTTCTAAAGTAGTCTTAAAGAAGGTTTACTTGCGTGTGCCTACTTTGGGATTCCCTAAGGGGACCTTGTAGAATTTGAACACCTAAGTAAGAAGAAAGCCATATGGTAGCCCATGATTCCCACCTTTAAAGTTAACCAACTTTTGCATATGATCTATCATGATTGCTGGCAAATTGATTGGGACAAACTTATCAAGTGCTTCCATTAATACCATATCCGATTTTGTAGCAATAGATCGTCTCTCAGAATGAGGTAAGAGCACCTTATTGACTAGTTCAAAGAAAAGCTGATACTCAGGAAGCAATACCTTATTATGCATATGTTCCCTCTGCTGAATAGCTTGCTTCTACATGATGTCTCTACTGAAGTTTACACCACAGACACCCTTGACTGAGGACATCCCTTCACATGGAATTCTGAGAACCTTTCCCAATTTTGAAGCATCAAGTACAATGTCTACTCCATTTACTAGTGCACAAATGTGATCCCCCTCAACAATGAAGAGAGATGTGTAAAAAGTTTGTACTGCATCATCGTACACCAAAGGCATGATCCCTTCAAACAAGTGTTCCCATTGTTGAAATTCCACAATCTCAAGAATTTGTCTCATACCGGCCATCTTCGAAATTGCTGGGTCAAATGTACGAACCTACAAAAGTTTCTAAGCTTTTAATCTATGCTGCCAAAGACCACTATCACAGGACATAGTCCTCAGTGCACCAGGTTCTTTAACCGTTTCCCGTTTTCGTTTGCTATACCCTTCAGTAGACTTTCCTTTCTAGCTTACTAACCCCACAGTATCATCTTCAGACATGGCTTCCTCAGTTTGACTCCTTTTAGACTTGCTACTGCCCTTCACGGATGAACCATTTTGTTGCTCAATAGTTTCATCAAAAGCATTATCCACAGACTTTTGAGTTTTCATAGATTGTTGTACTAAGGAACCAAGTTCCCTTAGAGCATTTTTGTCAATCCTACTTACTGGAACACTTTTGTTAGTGACGAATTCCCTTTGATTCATTATCCTCTTGTTCCTTGACACTCCTCTTACTTTTCTGCAATGTGAACTCAAAACTCTCTTGCTGCTATGACCTGATAGAGGGTGATTTGGAGGAGGATTCTACTAGCTTAGAGTGATCAGGAGGTGCATGAATGGGTTTGCATGGAAGAGAATCAGGTTCTTCAGAAGGTTTTTTTGAGAACATCTCATGAGACAAAGACTCGATGAGTACTATGGTTCTTACATCTCCTAGGAATGGCATTTCTTCCCCCTGATACTCAGACGAGAGATATGCTCCTTCATTCATCAGACTCTCAGTAGCAATAGCCATGATGTTATGCGCTACTTCTTTTTGGTGACTCTTTGAGAGTCACTAAGTCCAAAATAGAGGAGTTCAGATACTGATCAGGGTCATCCTCAGGGACTTCTGACACTTGAGAGATGAAACCCCCTGAGTATTCTTTGATGAGATTAGAGGAGTGACGAGACATAGAGTTCTTAGTATATGGGAGAAAAATAGGGTTTGTCAGAAAAGGAAAGACTATAGGAAAAGAGCATGAGCCAGGTGTGGGTAAAGTAGTAGAATGAGTGAAATAGTGAAGCTCTGGGGATGATTTTAGGGATGATAGGGAAGAGGGAGTGGTGTTAATAGTGGGAGAAGGAGGCGATTATTCGATTGCCATTATAGGAGTAATTGGAAGACGAGTAGAGTGAGAGAGAGAGAGAGACATGAACAGAGGATCACAGCTATGAGATGAAGAGATGAAGGTTCATGACTTGCTGTGAGAGAGAAAGAAAGTTTTATTGGAATAAGGGCTAATGATGAAAGGAGAGAGAAATAGGTTCTGAATAGTTCTAAAAATGATGGTAGGTTTGTGGGAAAGCTTTACCGTGCAGAGGGGATGAAGGGATTTGAAAGACAAGACATGACATGCAGACTTTGAAAAGTAGGATGATGTGGCAATTGAGTTAAAAAAATTGTTTTGTGAAGGCATGCACAATAAGCACATTACTACTAACCTGGGGTACAAGAACCTGATGCCAGACCAATTGTTTTGAAAAAGGTTTTAGCAGCTCCTCTCTTGCAGTTCATATTGTACCTTTAGCTTCGATAATCGTCATATGTGTTTATCTGCAACAGTATTGATGTGAGTTAGGATTGATCAGAAAATACTTTAGCTAACTTCACCTAACGGTGTCTTGCATAGCCAGCTAATGGAGGATCGGGTTCTTTATTAGACTCCTATGACCCCATCTTCACCTTGTTTGATCCAGAATATTCTTTACTCAAGGCTTTGACAAAGATATCTGGAATTTGGTCTTCTATTTTGCAAGACTTTCCACAGATCAACCCTTTCTTCATATTGACCCTCAGAAGATAATCCCACCCCTCAATGTGCTTGGTCATCTTGTTTTGAGATTCTTCTTCAGTTGTTGATGAGGCCATTGAGTTTTGCTTCCTTGTTCCCTAAGGGATGAGGCATGATCATGGCAAGTGAACCATTCCAGAAGTGTTTTTCCTTTCCACAGGAAAACTTGTCACACAGATGGGAGCTTTTGTGTTTGCAGTTTGGGACTAAAGTTTGATTGGTAGGGGAGATTTGGAAGAATTTGATTTCCCCACACTCTGCATTCTGTTGCTTGAGAGGTGCCATGAGCTGCATCTCCACTCTTTCTTCAGCTTTAGTGGTAGTAAGTGAAGTACCAGGTTCCTTGTGAGAAGTGGAAGATGATTTTGCATTGTCTTTCACCAGTATCCTTCATCTTACTCATTTTATCAGCCTCCCTATTTGAAGCCTCAGATATTTACCAGGGACCAGAGTTGGTTTATCATATTGATCATTACAGTTTCTTCCTTGGCTGGAGGAAGGTGTCTTGTTGAATACCCCATGAGCACTTCCTTCCATTTAGTGTTCCCTTTGTTGTAGACTTTGTGGCCTTGCTTAGTGGAGAGTACCCCAGAAGGATTCCTTCGTTCGTCTTTTGCATTGAACTTTCCAAGTTGATCCTTCACGTTATCGAGAACATGGCATTTTTAGTCAAGAAGGTTCTCAAATGAGTTGTCTTTCAGTCAAGAAAGTATTTTCTTCCATTTGGAAGCTCATAGTGGGTTTTGATTCAGGAGGGACCTGATCAGACACCTGTTCACTAAGTAGAAAGCAGTATTTACTGCTTTTGCCCAGAATTTCTTGGCGATTCCATAGTCGATGAGCATTGTTCATGCCACATCTTTCAGTTTTGTTCTTTCTTTCAGCAATACCATTTTGTTGTGGAGTCCTTGGTGCAGAGAAATTGTGCATGATCCCCCTTTTTCTTTGCTTTCACTTGAATCTTCTTGACAAGAACCATTAACACCTCGAGAGTCTCCTCCTTTGTTTTGTGAACCCTTGTCCAGGTGACTCTTGAGTTTGGCAGACCACGCACCAGGTCCTTCTGAGTTAATTTATTTGGAGGTGAGAAACTTGCATACACCAATCTTTCATGCCAAATTTCCGGCTTTACCCATCTCATACCACCGGCTTTTGGAGATTCATAGTCGACTGAGTGGATGTTCTTGTTTCCTTTGTCCACTAAGACCACTCGGCCAGTAATCAGATTGGTACCTCTACTTTAGGCCATTCACATAGTACACGTTCCCAACTAGGTGCCAAAAAAAACATTCCAACTTTACATTTACTGAGAATGTACCCTCTCCTTTCTTTTTAAGGATATATTCCCTTCCTGTAGGGCTTTCAGTGAGAAGAAATTAATGATGTTTTCAGTCACGTGCTTTGATCATCCACAATCCATATTCCATCGCAATCCGCTTCCTTTCATTGTTCCTTGCACAAACAAATCAAAGGTTAGATTTAGGAACCCAAACTAGTTTGGGTCCCTTGTTATGACAGAAAGGATGAATAAGAGTTTTCCTAGTCCATATAGGCAACATCTGCTTCTTGTGAGTGGTACCTGGTCCTTTCTTAGTAGTCATTTTATCAATAAACACTTTGTTTTTCTGAACAGACTGAACCCTGGCCTGACAATTTTCTTTAAAATGCCCATTGTTCCCATAGTGGGTACATAGCCAGTTATCAAGGACAGTGACATACTTATTGTGAGGGTTGTAAGGAGTTTTCTCCCTTTAGAACCCGATGCCCTGCCTGTTTCTACTATTGTTAAAATACATGTCAGTGACAACATCTGAGGACCAGGTCCACTTCAGAGATTTCTCAATTAATTCTTACTTTCTCCAATTCAGCTTAAAATTGCTGATTCTTCTCGAGTTCACTACATAGACTGGTTTTTACAATAGTTAATTCCTTTTCAAGCATGATGTGTGTCTCACTAGCTACTTCCTTCCCTTTCCCAAGACTCACATTCATATGTTCTATATTGAGTCCCTCAATGGTTTCCTCTAGATCGGTGCATATTACTAAAAAGTCATCCCTTTCTTCCTCAGTAGTTGTAATTTTTCCTTCTAAGATGTGTTTCTCATTGCTAAGACCTTCTATTGTTTCTTTTAGATCAACAACTACTACCATCAGGTCGTCTGTCTCATTTTCCACACTAGTTATTATTTCATTTAAGGCTTCCTTTTCTTTTTCAAGATTAGATATTGTCTCATTTAGGTCCACTACACAGACCACCAGATCATCTCTAGATTGTTCGGCCTCTTCTAATTCTATGGTCAGGATCTCCTTATCATTAACAAGGCTATAATAGGCATCAATTAGGACATTTGCTAATGACATTAGCTTCTTAGAAGAGTAGGATTTTATATTTCTCTGAACATACCTGAAGTTTACCTCATCATCTTCATCTTCTTCATCATCATCGGACTGAGCCATCAGCGTGAACAGTGAATCATACTTCGTTGCTTCAGTTTCCACTGCCATCATGGAACTATTTTCTGCATTTGGTTCCCTTTCGGATTCACTAGAGGAGTCTCCCAAAGCATCAAGAGCATGCTTAATAATATTGTCCGCTGCACTTTTTCGATTGAATCGTTTGTCTGGAACCAGGTTCCTTTTTGCTGCTTTGTCAGGATTTTATTTGTATTGCTCCTATTTCGCGAGTGAGTTGTCTTTGATGAAATGCCTTGGCTTTCCACAACTATGACAGAGATCGTTGTTCCTTTCTTTACTTGAACTGCCCCACTTTGGTATACCACCATTTCTTCGAACCATCTTTTGAAATCTCTTAGTAAGATAGGCCATGTCACTATCTTCATCACTTGAGTCACTGCTTTCAGCTTTGAGTACCGGGTTCTTTTCCTTCTTAGGCTCTCTTCTTTCACTATCTTTCTTTCTTTTCATCTCGTATGTCTTTAGATTACCAAT